TTTGCTTTTTGTTTTGTTTTTGTTGTTGGTTTTAGAGACAGGGTCTTGCTCTGTTGCCAAACGTGGGGTGCAGTGGCAGGATCACAGCTCAGTGTATCCTCGAGCTCCTGGGCTCAAGCAATCCTCCTGCCTTAGCCTCCTGAGTAGCTAGGATCATAGGCATGTGCCACCACACCTAGGTCTTGCTATGTGGCTCAGATTGGTGTTGAACTCCTAGGCTCAAGTGATCCTACCATCTCAGCCTCCCAAAGTGTTGGAATTATACAGGCATGAGCCACTGCATCTGGCCTTCAATCCTTCTGAATGAGATTACTCTATCTAACTCTGGTAGGTATCTGCACTGGGACTCAAAGATACCATAATTATTCCTCTTTCCTGGCCTTGTTCATTTCCCCTGCCCATAATGCCCTCATATTTCCAAATCTCACCCATGCTTTAGAGATAGATAGACGAGGTACCATTGGCTCCATAAGGCTTTTTCAAATAACTCTTGTTCACATTGATTGCTCCCTTCTCTTCCTGTTTATAGAACTTACTTTCCTATTAGTTACGGGCCAGAAAATATTTTAGGCATTACAGTCTCTCACAACTACTGAACTCTATGGCTATAGAGTGAAAGTAGTTGTGGATAATATAAACAAATGGGTATAGCTGTGATTCAATACAACTTTATTTTTTTAAAAGCTGGATTTAGCCCACAGGCCACAGTTTGTTGATCCATGTTTTTGCTGACCAAAATTATAAACTCTGGAAAAAATATAAAAAGCAGTTGTTTGAAGACCGTAGATAGCAAGCAAAGGCACATAGACATGACCCTGAAATAAAATGTACTAGCTGAAATCTAAATTTATCTTGTGTAATTGTCAAACATAATTCTGGGTGTTTCTGTGAGGGTATTTTTAGATGAATTTAATATTTAAATTTTTAGTCTGAGTACAGCAGATTGCTCTCCTTAATGTGGGTGGGCCTCATATAATCAGTTGAAGGCTTGAATAGAACAAAAGATTGACTCTCTCCCACATAAAAGGAAATTCCTCTTGCCTGAATGCCTTTGAGTTAAGACATCATTTTTTCTTAACTTTATATGCAAACACTGCTTCTTCATGGATCTTGAGCCTACTGGCCTTTGAACTGGCACTATGCTATCAACTCTCCTGGTTCTAAGGCCTTTAAACTCAGACTATACCATCAGCTCTCCTGGGTCTCCAGCTTACCAACTGCAAATCTCAGGAATTGTTAGCCTCCATAATTGCCAATTCCTTATAATCAATCACTTTTTCTTTCTTTTTCTCTCTCCATGTATCTTCTATTGGTTCTGTTTATCTGGAGAAACCTGACTAATACACCTGGTTTTTCCCAGTGTGTATTTATCAACATAGAGAAAGGAGTTCAAACAAGAAGTTGTAGTATAACTTGGCTGAGTAGTCAGAATTTGGAGCTGGGGCTGCCAGAACAGTTAATAAAGAAGTGATCCACATGAAAAAAAAGAAAAAGAAGAAGAAGAAGAAAAAAAGAAGTGACCCATAAAATAGAGAGCTCCAAAATCTATGCACAAACTTCCATTGAATTCTTGACTCTTAAACTGTATATGTAAGAAAAGGCTTCAAGGAGCCCAGAAGAATCTGCAGCTGAAAGGTTGAAAGAAATTATCTGCAATTTCATTATTTGCCTAATACTGGGTATACAGAGTTTGAAGTTTAGGTTCTTCCAAGTCAGAAGGTCTAGGTTAACATGGTAGGCTTTCCATTTAAATCACAGAAGAATCCCACTTTACATGTAAGAACTGTGAACAAGGATTAAGGGCAATATTGTAAGAGCTAAACTGAAGTAAACCTCTTCTAAAAGAGGCTAAAACCAATCCTCCACAGGATCAGGTGATCTGCCAGAATTTAACTGCTCTCAAGTCTTCAGAGGAAGATATGAATTTCTATAATGTTATTCACAGTGTCCATTATTAAACAAAAAATTAATAGACATGTGAAGAAGCAGAAAAATTTGACCCAGTATTAAGAGAAAAAACAGTTATATGGTAAAGAATCTATAAGAAAAGCAAATGGAAATCATAGAACATAATATATGAAATGAAAAATTCACTAGATAAGATTATTAGCACATTAGACACTGCAGAAGATAGGATCAGTGTAATTGAAGACAGATCAATAGAAATTATCAAAACTGAAGTAAACAACAACAACAAAAGGATGAAGAGCCTCAACAACCTTGAGTCCCAGAGGGAAGGTAGAGCAAATAGGGCAAAGAAAAGTATTCGAAAAAATAATTAGCTGTAAATTTTCTTAATATGAATACATTAACTCTGATACATGGAGCTCAGCAACCTTGAAGCAAGACAGACATCAGGAAATCAACACGAAGGCTCATCAAAGTAAAACTGCTGAAAACAAAACAAAATAAACCAAAGAGAACATCTTAAAGAACCCAGAGATAAAAAGGTGCAATATGTATAGAAGAATGAAGGCCAAATTGACATCAGAAACAAAAGATGACAGAAGACAATGGAAAGAAATCTTTAAAGTGCAAAAAGGGGGAAAAATTTATGAAGTAGAATTATACACATGCAACAGAAATATTCCTCAACAGTGAAGGCAACATGAAGACATTTTCAGATAACCAAAAGGCTGAGAGAATTCATTACCAGTAGAATTGCACTGTAACATATGCCAAAGAAGGTTGTCAGGCTTAAAGGAAATGATACTAGATGAAAATCTGAATCTGTTTGAAGGAATAAAGACAACTAGACGCAGTAGATATGAAAAATCATTTTTCTTTCATTTCTTTATTGAAAAGTCAACACACTATTTAAAGTAAAAATAACACATGGTAGGTTTTATAATATATGTAAAAGTAAAATATAAGACAAAATAGCACAAAAGATAAAAAGTGGGAACAAATTTTTTAAAAATAGCAAAATTTTAGAATTTAACCTAACCATACCACAAATTAGATTAAATGCAAATAAATGATACCCTTTAAAACAACAGCTTGTTAGACTAGATGAAAAAGCAAGACCTGACAATATGCTATTTATAAGAGACTCACTATAAGACAGAAATTAAAAAGTAAAAGGCTGAGAAAAGATGTACAATAGTCTCCCACTTATCCATGTAAGACATGTTCCAAGACCCCCAATGGATGCCTGAAAGTGTGGATAGTACTGAACCCTATATATACTTTTTTTCTTTTAAATATGAAAACTGAGACCAGCTACTAAGTGACCAACAGGCAGGCAGCTTACACAGTGCTGATATGCTGATCAAGGGGCGCTTCACACCCAGGGAGGGGCACTATGAGATTTCATCATGCTATGCAGAGTAGCATGTCATTTAATTTTTAATTGTTTATTTCTGGAATTTTCCACGTAATATTTTTGAACTACTATTGGCCATGGGTAACTGAAACCAAGCTGAAACTGCAGAAAGTGTATCATGTAAACACTAATCATAAGAAAACTGGAGTGTCAATATTCGTAATACTAAACAAAGTCAACTTCAAGATAAGATATATTACCAGCGATAAAGACCATTTAATGTTACCTGAGTCCATGAGTAAGGTTTTAAAACAAAAAAGACCACTTCATAATGATAACAGCTTTCATTCATCCAGAAGATATAATATTCCTATATGGTATGTATCTAATCACAGAGCTTTGTAATACGTGAAGCAAAATGATATTGAACTAAAGACAGAATTAGACAAACCCACAATCATAGTTGGAAATTTTAATACCCTTGCTCACTTAAAAGTAGAAATGTAAACCAGAAGAAAAATGGTAATTTAGAAGACTTCAACAACACTACTAACCAAATTGACCTAATTAACATTTATAGAACATTATACACATCTGCAGAGTTCACATTCAAATATACACTAGTCCTAGCTTTTGCTGGGCACCATATTAAATAAAACCTGTGCATATCAAAACCTTCACATGGTTCTGACATGCACGAGTTTTAATTAGGAGGTAACTATGCCAAGCAAAGGTTTCTTTAAACAGAACATTCACCAAGATAAAACATATGGGGAGGGTCATAAAACAAGTCTGAAAAAATTCCAAAGGATTGAAATGATACAGAGAATGTTATCTGATCACAATATAATTACATTAGAAATTGATATTAAGTATCTAGTAAATCTTCAAATATTTGCAAATTAAACAATAGACTTCTAAGTCCATGGGTCAAAAAAAGAGCATATATGTAGCATCTAGCATAATGCAACCAAAAAATACTTGAATTGAAAAGACCCCTGTGTTTGGTTGAATATTTTTATTGGAGAAAATATGAGAGATCAAATAGGAAGTTCACCTTTATTCTTCTTCACTACTGGAACTACTTAGAAAAGCCTTAGTACTAGAGAACATACTTTCCTCTATGTTAATTTAAGTAAAAAGTATGTTTAGAAAGATGTTATGAAAATAATTGTCTATGGGTGCTGCCCAACATTGAGTAGTAAGGCAGATCCTTCAAAAAAAAATCAAGCAGTGGCCGGGCGCGGTGGCTCAAGCCTGTAATCCCAGCACTTTGGGAGGCCGAGGCGGGTGGATCACGAGGGTGAGAGATCGAGACCATACTGGTCAACATGGTGAAACCCCGTCTCCACTAAAAATACAAAAAAAAAAATTAGCTGGGTATGGTGGCACGTGCCTGTAATCCCAGCTACTCAGGAGGCTGAGGCAGGAGAATTGCTTGAACCCAGGAGGCGGAGGTTGCGGTGAGCCGAGATCGCGCCATTGCACTCTAGCCTGGGTAACAAGAGTGAAACTCCGTCTCAAAAAAAAAAAATAATAAATCAAGCAGTATGCTTCAGTCAGCATTAAAAATTTTTCAAACATAGAGATGATTTTTTGGGGTTATAACTTTTAAAATGTTAACATCCACTACTCTAATTGTACTTTCAGCCAAATATTGCACATTTGAAAAATAACAGAACAGCTTCTCAAGAATTAAACTGATTTAGCTATAAAACACTAAACAAACACATACCTTAGCTGCATTGATAAAACATGTTTGTAATTGTCTCCCCAAAACTAGAAAATTTTCTGCAGCTGATGGAAGTAATTCATTGTAAAATTCCTCTGCATCTTCTCCTGGCTCCAATCCCACACAGCAATGGCTGAAATAAGAGCACAAGTTTGTGGTAATTAGAAGTTTACTGAATGCTCAAGCTTCTAGAGACACTGTGCCTTATTGAGAATTTTTAGTATGCTTCTTTTGTTGCCAAGCCAATAAAGAATTTTTGTTGGAAAATTAGTCTAACAACTTTCTAGAAAATAAACAGTGGTATGGACCATGCTTATACTTAGGTCCGGGATTTATATATCCTAAAAACCTACATATCAGCTTATTCAGGAAATAAAAGACACTTGGCTCATAATAAGGAGAAGCTAAGTTTTCAGTGAATTGGCTATAATCATTCTGAAAGCCATAGGATACCTTGAGAGTTTAATTTATGAAAAGCATTTGTGTTCACTAAAAGATTTTAGACATCCAATAGCTGAAAAATGCCCAGGTAGGATTTGTTTGCAAGGGATACATAAGGAAACCAAACACTAATTTCATACCAATTCTACCTTCCATTAGATCTACTTTTTGCAAAATATTCCTTATATATTCCTTGTATCAGAAGGACAAACAGCAAAACCTAACTCTAGTAGGAACACTTTACAATATACATTAAAGGAGAGAAAGTCACTTAAAGAAAAAGGTCCTAAAACTGTACATGAAAGCCGTTTCCTAGATATGAGTCAGAAGTCTCAATAATAATAATTTTTTCTGTAAACATCTAAAACAGCCTCAAACCAAAGAATGGTCTCTACGTGTGTATGCTAATGAACAAAACCTGCTGTTTGAGTCTTTTCAACAAAATGTATGGACACTAATAAGCAGTAACAACTATGTACTGAGCATATTTAAAACCTAAGTAATCAATGGCAGGTGGATAAAGAAAATGGTACATTTCTTTGGGGTGGTACATATACACCACGTTCTTTTTTATGCAGCCATAAAAAGAACAAGATGTCCTTTGCAGCAACATAGAGGTGAAGGCCATTAACCGAAGTGAACTAACACAGGAACAGAAAGCCAAATACTGCATATTCTCACTTATAAGAGAGAACAAACACTGAATACATATGACACAAGGAAGGTAACAACAGACATAAGGTTTACTTGAGGGCGGAGGGTGAGGATCAAAAAACTTCCTATTGGGTACCACGCCTACTACCTGTGTAATGAAATAATCTGTATACCAAATCCATGTGACATGCAATTTACCTATAAAACGAACCTGCACAACACCCCTGAACCTAAAATAAAAGTTAGGAAAAAAACCCTAAGTGGCTAATGTTTACATGTATCAGTTTTTATTTATTTATTTTTGCTTATTTTCTAAAATTAATGGGCTAATAGTCACATGTATCAGCTCTTCTTTTCTCTTTGGTTCCTAAAGTTAATTCCTTAAGAGTATCTATTTTAAATGAGAGGATTAACAAATGAAATTATGTTTATTTGTGCATTCATAAACATGGGAATTTCTTAAGTCTTGAATTCTACTCCAGAGAGGCCTGGCTTAATCAATATCATCATAAACTAGCATATCTAATCAAAACAAAAAGGCTTTATTTACTTAAGAAAATCAATCTTGAAAATTAAAGTATGGAAAAGAATATTACAAATATTTTTTAACTGGTTCTTTGTAACTATTTGGCCTTTACCAAATAACACAGTAGGATTAAGCAGCTTAGAAATCTAGTATCCAAGACAAACCCTTTCAGTGGAAATAGTTTATTAAACTCAAATGGCTTATCTAGGAAATACAAAAAACAAAAAAAGAAGGCCAGGATCCAGTTAGTAAATGCATATGTTCAGTTACTTAATCAGGAAGTAGCTAAGGCACTAAGAACATCTGGTTTATTTTACTACCCCCTTTAGAAGAATGATGTTTATTTCTTTTCTATTAATTTCTAGTGTGGCAGTAGATCAGTAAATGCTACTTCTAAATTTTATTGACACTATTTGGGTTGCTTAATGAAATATACAGTTGACAGCTAAATTGATATAGTGAAATGAATGTTTCTTTATTGGTTCTCCTATAGTACTTTGCTTGCATACTTTCATTTTAGCACCAATTTCATCCTGTTTTGTATCATATACTTACATGACTTGTCACCCAATCTCTATTATAAGTTTCTCAAGTACAGAGCCAGTGCCTTAATTTCTTCACTTCTATAAATATTTCTTAGTCAATAAAAAGTATATTAGGCACTTGGAATTCAGTGGTGAGAAAAAAAATGATCACTGTCTTCATTAAGCTTGTGGAAAAAAATTTTAGACAATCAATGAATCTCAAATAAAGTTATGAACAATACATGTAGTATGAAGGAAAAGTACAACCAAAACCTACAAGAGGTTGCCAATGCTTGTTAGGCAGATAAAAAAGCAAATGCTGAAAATCAGAATCAACTACTATATCCCTCAAGAACAAGCTGACTTACTGCTTCGTTTTACCTTAATATCTGTGTAAGCTGGGAAATGGTAGTCCAACCACCCTGGATTCGAGAACAATCTTGACTGAGGACCAAGAGGCAATATTGAATGAGATCATAACAATATATATCTTGTTTGATTTTCTTCAACTCTGAGCTTCCTAAAGGTGTGTTGTTTATTATTTCTAAGGCAAAAGGAAATAAGATATACTTATTTTTGCTCAATATATCCAGGTGTTATTTGTATTTTCATATGTTGAATAATCACTAAAAATATATTAGAACAAAAAAATCACTGCTCTATCACAGTGTTAAGATTTCTCTGGACAAATTTTAAAGAAATGTTAAAATTGTACCAATGATGGAACTGTTTTTCACTTAAAGTGCTATCTAATCACAAAAAGATTATCTTACCTTTTAACTTCAACAGTATAAGAGGGACATTCTGCTCAGGGCTTTTTGCAACTTCAGCAGCTATAGATAAGATCCTTGGGTCTGTACCTGTTGGCTTCATTTCTTATATTACCTATCTTTTAACAGAATCAGAGAATAAAGGTCAAAAAGCCATAAAATGTTCACTACCTAAATAATTTTTGAAATATAATTTTAATATAAATAAAAACAGGTTTTCTTGCCTTGTTTGAGAAACAGTATATAGATTTTCCTTTAATTTCTTCCTTAGAGTAAACTGGTTTTTCACACCAGTGTAACTCTAAAAGAGCTTAAGATTCCAATACCTCACATGCAACAGCTATAGCAGATACTGTTTATTGTGCACTCACTAAGAGTCAGGAACCATGATAGGAACTTCACATTCTCTCTCTAATCTGCACAATAATTCTAGGATAGGAATTAACTTTCTTTAATCATACAAGAAAAACTGCAAAAAAGAGCTAACATGACAGGCCTAAGACTTATCTTTTCAAAGGTGTGCTTACAAGGTTGGCCCTTGGCTGGCATCTAGAACTTGGATTTCAGGAGGGTTTCTACCATTCTCTGATAACAGTGGCTCCCTGTGCCTACTGTTTATGAAAAACAATGTGGCTCATGCTGAATGCCTGCTTTCCTTCTAGTGAATCGTAGAATTCTGATACATACCAGCCAAGAGTACCTATATACAAGGTGCCTATGTGGCCATCCTCCAATAAAAATTCTGATCACTGAGTATCTAGTTGAGCTTCCCTGGTAGACAACACTTCAAACATGTGGTCACAGCTGGGTGCTGGAGGAATTAAGCATGTCCTATGTAACTCCACTGGGAGAGGACTCAGAAGTTTATACCTGATTTCCTCTGGATTTCACCCAATATGCTTTTTCCTTTTGCTGGTTTTGCTTTATTTCCCTTCACTGTAATAAATCATAGCTGTAAGTACACTAAATTCTGAGTCCTGTGAGCCCTTCTAGTGAAGCACTGACCTTCAACACACTAATGCTCAGAAAGGTTACATAAATATAAGATGATAAAAGATTACTTCTAAATAGTACAGTTAATAAGGCCAGGCGTGGTGGCTCACGCCGAGGCAATTGAATCACTTGAGGTCAGTTGTTCAAGACCAGCCTGGCCAGCATGGTGAAACCCCATCTCTACTGAAAACACAAAACATCAGCGAGGCATGGTGGTGTGTGCCTGTAATCCCAGTTAGTTGGGAGGCTGAGACAGGAGAATAGCTTGAACCCAGGAGGCAGAGGTTGCAAGATCACACCACTGCACTCCAGCCTGAGCAACAGAACTCGACTCTGTCTCAAAATAATAATAAAAAATAAATAGTATAATGAATAAAATCAATTGTCCCTAACACTAAAAAAAGAAAAAGGTCCACATCCTAATTTGTTGCTAAAACTTTCTCTATGTAAAAAAGTTTAAGGAAGGAGAATTACTTGAGAATAGGTGTTTGAGACTAGCCTGGTCAAGAAAACAAGACCCTGTCTCTAAAAAAAAAAGTTTTAAAGCATTTGAAGCTCAAAAATATCCTCACACAATAAAAGTACACTTCCTTATTTATAATTAATAAAGCTAACATATATTGTTTAATACGAGCTAAGCACTGTATTAAATGCTTTTATATATATTGTGTTATCTAATCCTCACAACAGGACTAAGAAGTAGAATGTGTGATCATCTCCATATATACATACATACACATATACATATATATGTTTTTGTTCAAAGTTCCTAGCTCGTAACTCCCATAGCCTTTGTTACAGTCTTGTTATGTTATGATGCTTTAGGCCTCAGAAAACAGAATTTATCTGTGACTTTTTTCTCTTCTCCTTTCACCTGCTCCTTCTACCCAAAGCAGAACTTTAATTGTCCCTGCTGTTCTCTGACCTATCTTGTCTGGCTGCAGGTCATAAGACCCCCATTTCAGAAGGGGTCTCGCCCTATATACTGGAAGGAATGCTGCACAGAGAAGCCAAGAAGAATCTGAGCAGACAGGCCTTGCTGGGTTTTCCCACTCAGTCTATTAGTATTAGTTTGTATCTTTTTTGTCCAATCACATTTCCAACATGATTGTCCATGTTTCAGTCATGCTTATCCAATGAAGTCTCCATAAAAGGCTCGAGGATGGGGTACAAAGAGCTTCTGGACAGCTGAACATATGGAAATTTCTAGAGGAACTTCCTAGATAGCACACCCAGCGAGGACATGGAAGCTCTCTGACCCTTCCCATACTTCGTAGTATGCATCTCTTCATTTATATCCTAATTTATTTATTTATTTATTTATTTTTGAGACATGGTCTCACTTCTATTGCCCAGGCTGGAGAGTGGTGGTACAATCATGGCTCACTGGAGTCTTGACTTCTGGTTCAGGTGATTCTCCCACCTCAGCCTCCCAAGTAGCTGGGACTAATGATGCAAGCCATGAGGCTTGGCTAATTTTTTGTATTTTTAGTAGAGACAGGGTTTCTCCATGTTGCCCAGGCTCTCTGTAATATCTTTTATAATAAAACGGAAAACATGTTTCCCTCAGTTTTGTGAGCTACTCTAGCTTAATCCACCCCTAGGAAAGGGTAGTAGTATTCCCCATGTGTAGCTGGTTAGTCAGAAGCACAGGTAAAACAACCCAGGTTTGCAACTGGCATCGGAAGTAGGGGCCACTCTTGCAAGACTAAACCCTAAATCTGAGGGATCTGACCCTATCTCCAAGTAGACAGTGTCAGAATTGAATTAAAGAATACCCAGCTGGTGTTTGCTGCAGAAGTGATTGCTTGCTTGTTGGCGGGAGAATTCTCCCACACATCTGGTCCCAGAAGACTTTTGTGTTGATTGTCATGATTGAGAGCAAAAACTGCTTTTCCATTCATATATCTCTTATTAGGTACAATATAAATCATTAAAAGACAGGTTTGCTGAAAATACTTTAAAGAAAGCCCAGTGTAACTCCTGGCACATAGTAGTCACAAAACTTTCCAAGAGAATGCATATAGTTATCTCATTCTTTCCACATGGCTGCATTATGCTACACTTCCTTTTTAAGAATGCAGCAAAATATATTTAAACATCACCTCTAATGTAGGTCATTCAAGCTGTCTGCTATTACAAGCAACGATGCAATGAATATACGCATTATCTTTTACATTTTTGCCAATCTGTTAGATGAAAATTGGTATAATTTTGTTTTAATTTACATTTCTCTGATTATTAGGGACGTCAGGCACATTTCATGTTCACTGGCCATTATTCTTTTATGTATTTTCTATTCATATCCCTTGACTATATTTCTACTGGATTGTCTTATTCTTTTGCAGAAACTTTTCACACATGAGTAGGAATCTTTTCTCTTTTATATTGGCTGTAAAATTTTCTCCTAGGTTGTCATTTATTTTTAAAATTTGACTTGGCATCTTTACCATAATTTTACAATTTGTTTTGAGTCTCACTCTGTTCACCCTGGCTGCAGTGCAGTGGCACGATCTCAGCTCACTGCATCCTCCACTTCCCAGGTTCAACCAATTCTTATGCCTCAGCCTCCCGAGTAGCTGGGATTACAAGTGTGTGCCACCATGCCCGGCTAAATTTTGTATTTTTAGTAGAGATGGGGTTTCATCATGTTGGCCAGGCTGGTCTTGAACTCCTGACCTCAAGTGGTCTGCCCACTTCAGTCTCCCAAAGTGTTGGCATGAACCACAGTGCCTGGCCATTTTTACAATTTTTATGTTACTGAAATATAACAATCTTTTCCTCTATAGCTTCTGTCTTTTGTGTCATGTTTAGAAAGGTCCTCTCTAACCCAAGAGCTAAGAAACATTCTCCAAATCTTCATGTATTTTTGGTTTTGTTTTCCATATATACCTTCAAAAGTAAAGTATGTTTGTGAATGGTGTCATATAAGAATCTAAATTTTTAATGTTAAAAGTTATTGATGGATTAAAAAATACATATAGCAGTCATAAATTCATAAGGTAACTAGTTATGAAAAGATACAACAGAAACAATCTGAAATGTCACATTTTCATGCACTATGTATAGAAAAAAACACACAGGGAATCTTTCTGGACTCTATTTAGTTTCATTAATCTGTTTGTTTAGTCTTGAGCTAATACAACATAGTTCATTCGGAGAAAATTCACCTCAGAAGGTAAGCTTCATGAGGGCAACCTACCTATCCCTTAGAGATTATTAAATGAGTTAATACATGAAAGCAATTGGAACAATTCCTGGCATATAATAAGAGCTCTCCAAATGGTTATTATTAAAGCCCAGCTCTACCATCATACTACATTTTAGGACCATATTTGGTGGCTTTTTTTTTTTTTTTTTTTTTTTAAGGCAGTGTCTCACTCTGTCACCCAGGCTGGAATGCAATAGTGCTTTCTCAGCTCACTGCAACCTCTGCCTCCCAGGTTCAAATAATTCTCCTGCCTCAGCCCCCCAAGTAGCTGGGATTACAGGCACATGCCACCACGCCCAGCTAATTTTTGTATTTTTAGTAGAGACGGGGTTTCACCATCTTGGCCAGGCTGTTCTTGAGCTCCTGAACTTGTGATCCACCTGCCTTGGCCTCCCAAACTGCTGGGATTACAGGCATGAGCCACTGTGCCCGGCTGGTTGCCTTCTTATATCTTTGGTTCACAACTATATTTCTAGTGGCTAGAGTAGTGCCTGGCATGTAGCGGAATTTACTAAATATATGTTGAAAGAACGAATTACTGCACAAACCTCAAGCATTCTGAGCCTTAATTTCTTGACTTTCTGGTTTTCCCTTGCTGTAATACAGAAAGCTCAGATTTCTGGTTGGAAGCCTCTCTAAAGTAAAATAGGCTCAAAACTGTTTGTGTCCTCCTGGCTACCATAATAAAACATCACTAAATCATTATTGTCATTATCAAACGTGTAGAGCAGTATGGTGGATGTAGGGGACACAAAGATTCTACACAAGACACACTCTCTGCTATTGTTCTGGTTGGGAAAGAAAAGTATGTATATGTACATGTGTATACACACATTAAAATAATATACTTAAGAATATCAGGTATATAAGATGATATGGATAAGAATACAGGCCATAAAGTTGGAAGACTGGGCTTCTCTGAACCACTTTTCTTGGCTGTAAACAAAATAGCAATTCCTACCTCCTAGAATGATTCCAGATTTAGAAGAGAAGGCAGCCACCAAAGATGGTCTTAAAATGTAGTATAACTGTAAACCTGGGCCTTAAATAATAACCATTTGGAGACCTCTTACTATGCACCAGGAATTGGTCTAATTGCTCTCATGTATTAACTCATTTAATCATTCCAACAACTCTAAGGAATAGGTACTATTATTTTTCCCTCAATTTGAACAACGACCATACTTAAACTCTAGAGAATGCAATTAGCTGACACAGAGCCACACTATTAAGTACGAAGAGGGATTCAAACTGGAGCCACCATCTGGCTTAAAACACTTAACTACAATATCAAACAGCCTCAGTACCCCTTCAAAGGGCAGGAATTACAGACAGGTTGAAGGAGACATAGTCACCTACCCAATAATCAATTGACAAGCGTGCCTAAGGCAGAAGTGAGGGAGCGCAGTTGATTACGTAATTACTACAAAAAGCCACCTGTTATGGAAACCGTCTGTAAACTTTCTCTTGTTTCTCCTCTAATTCAACACTTCTCCCCATCTTTACATTAAATTCATGAACTTTCACACAAAAAGATAATTATTTATCGATTTTAGTGCTACTACCCTGTTGCCAGGCCACCGGTTCCGGTCCAGCCTTGATTCTTTGGGAATCACGTCCCTGTCGCCCCGCTGGTTAATACCTCCACCGATCACTGTGAGGAAAATAAAAGGAAATTCAGTGCGATCCTGTTGCGTCTGATCCTAAACGCCTGCACTTCCTATCTCCGAATCCTCTTCCCCCTCCTCCCCACCCCCCAAAACATCCCCGTCTCCAGTCCGAAGACCACAGGAAACTTCCTCTGGTACTAAAAGGTCAGAAAATGGTAACTGAGGTAACAGCCTCGCTCCCACTCAGGTCCAAGGACCGAAATTCTGGGCCCGCGGGATTCCTTTACTCCAGATTCTAGACCCGCTTTCGCGCTACCAGGCCGTGGACAAGACACTAGGCCCTGTGCCCGGACACTGCCCTTCCGCAGGCCTCAGTTTTCACACCAGATCTCCACAGAATGGGCGTGAGGGCAGGCCGATTCTCCCGTTAAGCGCTCTCACACGCCGGCTGACTTGGTCCAGGAGCCCGGGGTCTTGGGCTCCGGGTAGGCGCTCTGGGGCCCTCTCCTTCCCCAGCCACCACCTCAGACCAGTTACCTCATCCTCGCTTCGCGTTCTTCCACTAAAGAACCCGGCACCCACGCCGCACCACAGCGCCGCGGCCTTCCCAGGGCAGCTTGCGTCGCGACGCGGGAAGGGGCCTGGAAGCGGGACTAGGGCCTCGGAGCCAAGGGGCGGAGCGTCCTTTGCCAAGAAGCCAATAAGAACGCGAGACGCGCCCCGTGGGGCGGTGCGCGTCGGGCGCGGGGTGGAGTCTGTGGTGACTGGGCTGGCGGGATCAAGTGCAGTTGCTTTAGGCTGAGGTGGCAGATAGCGAACGCCAGTGGCCGAGGCGAAGTCAGAGCAGAAGAGTAATGATGAATAGCGCAGCGGGATTACCACACCTAGACCGTCGCGAGCGGGTACTCAAGTTAGGCGAGAGTTTCGAGAAGCAGCCGCGCTGCGCCTTCCACACTGTGCGCTGTGAGTGAGGACGGCCCGGGGATAGAGGGGGAGCCTCCCGCGATGGGAGTAGAGAGGCACAAACCCCTCTGTTTTGTTCCCACAGTCCCTCTTACACTGTTGGGGACTGCCGGGGGTGGGCGGGGAGCGGGAGGAAGGGCGGGGGCCAGCGCGGTCCTCTACCCTGCTCAGAGTCTTAGAGGGTCGGTGGAAGGAATCAGAGTCGAGCAAATGTAGGTAAACCCTGGGAAGAGAGCGTTGAGACCAACAGATAGGAAGGGAAAGTGTGGAAAAAGTCTTCAGAGGTGACTGTGGAGACCGACATGACAGGTGGATGATGCAAGGGTGGACAGGAAAATATTAAGGTGACAAACGGGAAGGGACTAAGGACCGAATGCCGGGAAGTTGAATGCCTTAAGGCTGGTGGGGCAATATTCTCTGTTTTCTTCACTTTTTCTCACCTCTGGCAGATTAGGGTTAATTAATGCATTCTTTGCGAGGTGAGAAATTCTCAACCATCCCAATGATCTATACCTCTTTGGGCCCCAGATTTCACTGAGTTATCAAATACTGATTATCAAAGTATTCGAGGGTGTGTTATTAATTTCTTTATTTGTAAGATGTTTACCTCCCTATGATTTCTATCCTTTGGTTTTCTTTAGTGCAAACTTGTTTTAATAAAGTATTTCTTTAGTGGAACTAGTTTTAATAATTTATTCTCTTTTATGTTGTTGAAGTAGAAAAAGGAGCTCTTTTGCTTTAACGGATGATATAGATTCCAGGAAGGAAAATATAGCAATAAGTTTTTATGCGTAAGATATTCATATTTTGCATAACAGCGTCATAGAATTGTAGAGCGGGAAGGAAACTTCGAAATCACTGAATCATAACCTCTCATTTTTCTGTGGTAAAAATGTAAAGTAAGTATTTTTTCACTTCCTTCCCCTAGCCTTGCCCTTCCTTAATATCTCATCTTTGCACCTTTCTCAGTCATTCTGTCCTCAGGTTGTTTAGAGACCTTTATGGTTTTTACTCTGAAATATTCTATGGTTCAATCAAAACAACTAATTAAAACATACATTCTCCCAAAAGTTTATTTAAGTTGTAGACAATTTAGTTATAGTTTCTCAGAGTAAAGGTATGAAGAACCACTGGTTTTAACCTTGCAAGAATATATTTACTAAAAGGGTTTTATTAAGCAAAATTAACATCCACTTGGTAGACTAAATGGGGGAGATATTTGTGAACAGAAAATCTTCAACTGTGTTCCTTGTTTATTCTTCTTTATCATATACTCTCTCATCAAGCGCCCCCTACAGCGAAATAGTGCTGTGCTGGCTCTGCAGTTTCTCTCTCCCTTCAGTCCCAATTTCCGGAAGTGTGATATGGGTCTTTAGCTGGTTTCTCCATGACTTTTTCTCAAATAGTGTCTCCTCTCTCCTTTTCCTTCTCAAGTATGCAATAGTCTTAGTATTAATTTTTCAACTTGCAAGGGTTTAAGATGATAAAATTTTTCTTAAGAATATATTTCTGTGATTTGGGTATGTAGTCTCTTATTTAGGCCGCAAACCCCAAATTAAATGAATAAAAAAATTGCCTTTGAAAATAATCTTGCAGCTGCTTCAAAACCTTTCATTTATAAAGGTTCTTAACATGCCAGTATCCTGAAAGTCAGAGGATTAGATGATCCAGCTACAAGAATGAAAATAAACAAAACAACAATAATAATGATAATAATAAATAAGCACAGATGTTTCAATACACAGTCCTGTGGAAGACAGGACTATTAGATTTTCAGTTCTTATTTTTTTGTTGTTGTTGTCATCGAAGCAGGTGTAGTAATGGCACAGAATCATTTTAAATTTATATAAATATAACTGGTCATTATTCTTGAGGACAGGTTCATTTCCAATGTAATCCTCACTCTTAAGAACTCAGAGTGAGGGATGAAAACTATGGAATAGTATGAAGCTGATGTTCATACAGATAAGGTGGACCTAATTTATAACCAACCCTCAAGCAAATGTCATGCAGGAGAAAGTAATATTCTGTCTTTATTTATAGGAGCAATTCTACCTGTCTGACATAAAACTTCAGGCAAACCTGGATGTGAATCCTGGCCTCCACCACTATATATGTAATGTGATTTTGGGAACATTCTCTAAGCTCTCAGCCTCAGTTTTCTTATGGTTCAATGATAATAATAATATTTATATTTCATGGTTTTTGTAAGGATTAAATAAGATAGCATAAACAACCCGGCACAATATGTGCCACAGGGTAGAGAATAAATAGTAGTCACCATTAATATTGAAGAGTTGTATTCATATGTGTATGAGGCGTGCTAATGAATGTAATTCAGTCAGACTTTGAAACAGCATTTATCAGGGTTTAGCAATAAAAACTATCAAAAAGGTAGTCTGGCATGTGGTAGGAGGGGCATGGTATGCTCTATCAATGATAAGCTAAATGCTTAGCAACAGATGCTTTACTGGGTAGAAGAGTTTCAGTAACAGGACTCACTAGAATCAATTTTGAATTGGGAGTAGTACGAGTTTTACAATTTATATCCAGATAAGGGAATGAATTGTGAAATCTTAAGTTTGTAAATGATGCCACTTTTTTGTGTCCTTAAATGATAAGCTCATGAGTAGTATTGTGGGTTTTGGAGTTGGTTGAATTCATTCAAATCCCAGAAAATAAACTGATAATAATAATTGTGGATTCTTATGAAAATATTGACATTATGTGATGCTACAGCCAAAATAGTCAGAAAAGCAATAAACACTGACAGAAAAAATGTTAAATACAAAGCAGAAAATTATTTTCTACTCTTCATGCAATATAATAAATGATTCCATTGTACTCCTGAAGAAAATAGCATAGATGAAAGTCATCCAGAGAGAATAAATAAATGGTAAAGTTGGTGGTAGGGTTTTCAAACCAAGGAGAACTGAGAAGTGAACTATTTAGTCTAGAATCATAGCAATTTAGAATACATTTGACCTTTAGAAGCATACAGAAAGCATAAACATGAGATTATTCAACAAATTCTTTAATTCTATAACTAAACTACTTGAAACACAGAAGTTTAATACTTTAAAAAAATGTTCAACCCATAATTTTGTTGTGAAGGTTAAAATTGATAGTATATTGTAAAGAAAAAAATTACTTCATAAACACTAAAACAGAGGTTGTAGATTAATAGCACATAGGCTGAGCTTTACTTGAGAAAAGCTTTGTTTGGTCCACACCATTGTTGTTTTATCTTGAGTTAGTTGCAAACACCTAACATTCAGGACCATTTATATAAAAATCTAGATTTTCAGCTTATCTTTAAAAGTCAGATGGTAAGCTGGCAACATTGAGTTCATATCTTCTCCTGGCAGCAGTTGGCTGGAGCAGAGTTGTGAGATTGGGCTTATTCATCCTGTGTCACTGTGATTCCCATTGGTCGGCTTCGCCACCTGGGTTACCTTGCTGGCCTCTCTAAAGCATCATTTAGCTGTAGTTAAATGACAATCATACCTTCCAGTATTTTCCTTTGTGTCACTGTGAGAAAAATATTAGACGTTAGAGGGCTATAGTTTCATTCAGGATGTCATTTCTAAGGTTTTAAATAGTTATCATAGAAAATGCTTTATTGTCAAATATTAACAATGGATGCTGTCTATGAGAACAGAAGTATGTTAGTGAAAAATATGCAAGAAAAATGACAGTCTACCCTAAAGAGATTAAGAGTTTTGAAGTAGAGATGAATCTGACTCACAGAAAATAATTAGAAAACAAGCATTTTACACATGATTTAACACCTTATATATATATACTTAAAATAAGTTTAGAAGTGATTCACAGAAGGGTGAACATTGTGAACCTGAATGAACTACAAGATCTCTTGTATATCCATTACATTAAAGGCACTGTGCTAGAGCCACTATCTGAAGGAATTAAAATATGAGTCACTGTGCTTTAAAAAATTACAACCTAATAGGACATGTCCACAAAAAGGTAAATAATAGGCCAGGCATGGTGGCTCACACCTGTAATCCCAGCACTTTGGGAGGCTGAGGTGGGTGAATCAGGAGGTCAAGAGTTCAAGACCAGCCTGGCCAACATGATGAAACCTCATCTCTCCTAAAAGTACAAAAATTAGCCAGGTGTGATGGCAGATGCCTATAATCTCAGCTACTCGGGAGGCTGAGGCAGAAAATTGCTTGAACCCAGGAGGCAGAGGTTGCTGTAAGCCAAGATTGTGCCACTGCATTCCAGCCTGGGTGACAGAGCAAGACTCGTCTCAAAAAAAAAAAAAAAAAAAAAAAAAAAAAAAAAAAAGGTAAATAATATCAGGTAGTTTATGTTAGGTCTTGATTAATGGTATAGTAAATGCTACAGGAATGGAGAAGAAATTGAGATTCTGGAGAGTACAGAAAGGACTGCACCCTGAAATGGCTTTGAAGAAGAGGGGACCTTGAAATAGAATGCAAATTCTAAGAGAACAAAAGAATAAAGAAAAGCAAAAGGGCAGACCATAGGTATTCCAGTAGTTTAGCTGATTGAAAACTAGCTTGTCCACAGCAAGAATGGAAGGGGATGGCTTTGAAAAATATTAAAGAGGTTATAATAATTAAACGATAAAGGACACAGAGGAATATTTAGCATAATACTTAGATTGATGAATAGAACTTTGACGGATAGTTGAAATTAGAAAGTTGAGGGCCTGCCAGCCACAGTGTCTAACGCCTTTTATTCCAGCACTTCGGGAGGCTGAGGCAGGCAGAACACTTGAGGCTAGGAGCTCAAGACCAGCCTGGCCAACATGATGAAACCCCATCTCTACCAAAAATATAAAAAATTAGCTGGATGTGGTGGGCTCATGCCTGTAATCCCAGCTAGTCTGGAGGATGAGGCAGGAGAATCACTTGAATCCAGGAGGCGGAGATTGCCATGAGCTGAGATTGTGCCACTGCACTCCAGCCTGTGGGACAGAGTGAGAGAGACTCTGTCTCAAAAAAAAAAAAATAGAAAAAAGAAAGTTGAAGATCAACAAAGTCCACTAGTATGGGCACCCACATAGGGCATGATGATAACTTATTTATAAATAGTGAAAGATTTTATGTGGCAGTTACTTCATTTCTACTGTATATATCCATATAAAATGACTTTGGTTCTTATTTTAGATTCACAAATGGTATTTGCTAGCCCAAACTAAAGTTTTTTTCTCTCTTTATTGACATTGATATATATTGGCCAACCTCTCGTCTTTTTTTTCTAACTGGATTTTCTAGTTCTTTTTTCTAGCTTTATAAAATATTAGTTGCATGATCTTGGGCAAGGAACTTAATTTTTTTCCACCCTCACTTCCCTTACCTGTAAGATAGGGATATTCCCTACTTTTCAGGATTGGTGCGAAGCTTCAAAGTATAAATCATCAGGAAAAACATTTAAAATTGATCAGCATATAATAGCTGTTATTATTGTTGTTTTGTTCATATCTGTGCTCATTCTCTTAGATTTTCTGGCTTTTCTCCTACTTTATCTCTGTGATACTTACTCAAGTTCAGTTCTATTAATTTCTTTTCCCTCAATAGCATTGTCCTTTCAACAATTGGCATTAACAATTATTTCCTTCAGCGTAAACCCTCTTTCAAGCATCTAAAGCTTAACACCTTAATTATACCTTTCACTTTTCTCACCTTACCACTACTAACAAACTCCCCAATTTATTTTCAGTCTAACCTTTATCCTTTGATTCTTCAGTTATACTTTCTAGGGATACATTGTAAATCAAAACTCTTACACATTTTTCATATTGCTTATGTTATTTTTATATCTGTATCTTAAAATCTATGAATAAGCATCAAGATTTTAAGAGATAGTTATTACATCTATTCAGTTTTGAATTAAAGCAGCATGAAGAATAAACTATATTATAAAAATATTTTCTGGAAATTGTTTGTATTCATTTACATTTGTGTTTATTTAAGGAATAGAGGAATAGGTTTAATTTTTTTGAGAGTTGTTATGAGAAGTAAATATGAAGTGTTAAGCATGGTGCCTGGCATGCAGTAAGTGTTCCATAAATGTCAGCTATTTTGTCATTGTAAAGCAGGGCCAGCCTTTGTTTATTGACAGAGCAATAATTTGATGAGTGTTCGAAGATTCTCCTTTCCCAAGATTTGTTAATTATAGTTCCCTAAATTCCACTTATAAATATCTATTACTTTGGATTTAGACTTTTTGCCTTTGGGGCCTTTTTGTTAATATGAAGATGAATCTTTTGAAACAACACATAACTGGAAGGGGCCTCTATGAAGCTGGTAATGTTCCATTTCTTCATTTGGTTAGTGGTTACATGTATCACTTTGTAAAAGTCAAAGCTTAATTTTTGTTCTCTTTTGCATGATACAATATTTTAATAAGGAGTTAATGTAAATATACCATGTGGAGCTATATATCAGAATTATTAGTCATTGATGTATATTGATATGAATTAGTTTTAAATGACTGTAGTTACTTAGAGGTTTTTAAGATTGTTTAACATATGGAATATCTTAGTACCCTGAATTCCTTCTAGATGATAGATTGTAATGGCATCATTTGAACTATGATTTGACTCAAAATTAATTTTTATTTTAAGGTCTTCTAAAGTGACAGAGTTGGTTAAATTATAATCATTTAGTGGCGTATATATTCATGAAAAAACTGTTAAACTAGAAAGATTACTTTTTCTTAAGTTTCTTCATGAATATGTACTGTATTTGCTATGTATTCATTCATTTTGTTCTGCTAGAATAACAGACAAGTGGTAGTAGGCACCAAAGGTGCTTTAAAAAAATTTCACAGGCCAAAATTCATGAACTAAGTCAACAGCCATTAAAAATAACATAAAACGGCCAAGTGCATTGGCTCACACCTGTAATCCCAGCACTTTGGGCAGCTGCAGCTGGCAGATCACCTGAGGTTGGGAGTTCGAGACCAGTTTGACCAAAATGGAGAAACCTCGTCTCTACTAAAAAAAAAGTAATACAAAATTAGCCAGGCGTAGTGGTGAATGCCTGTAATCCCAGCTACTCAGGAGGCTGAGGCAGGAGAATTGATTGAACCTGGGGGGTGGAGGTTGCAGTGAGCCGAGATTGTGCCATTGTACTCCAGCCTGGGCAATGAGCGAAACTCCGTCAAAAACAAAAAAACAATAAGAAAGAAAAATTTATAGGGAAAAAGGACTGAAAATTGAAAACATTCTACTTGCATCAGTTTTGTAGCAAGTTGTGAAAACATGGACATTATTTAGTTTTTAGCAGTAGAATATGTCAGTCAGCTTCATCTTGGTCTAAACAGGATTCTAAGAGAGCATGAATGTGAGTAATTCTGTTTTAGAGTATAGCTATTTCTTTTTTCTCAGAATTATGCACACAGAAATAAACTAGATTGTATTTTGTTTGTTCATTTGTAATATGAAGACTTTAAACAATTTTAGTTACAAAGCTCTTGAAAAATGGTTTATCATTCCAAAACATGCTCATAATTTTTATATCCAAATATTGTTATATTTTATAAAAATTGGTATTTGTATCTATTTTTAGATGACTTCAAACCTGCTTCTATTGACACTTCTTGTGAAGGATACCTTGAGGTCGGTGAAGGTGAACAGGTGACCATAACTCTGCCAAATATAGAAGTGAGTATTTCTACATATTTAAGGTGATCATTTTTGTGGGATTCTCAGTAAATTTAAATGAAAATAATTGCACAATTCATGAAGTGATGATTGGCTAAAGTAATTAATCAGCACAGCAAAGCAAAAGCTATATTTTAAACTACTTTAAGCAAAAAAAAAAAAAAAAATCTCTAAATACATTAGTCCATTTAATAGTTCCAAGAGCTATAATAGCAAGTGATTTGAAAAAAATTAGGTCTAACCAAATATTTATTAAATTCCTGTTATAAGCCAGATTGTATACACTGACCTTAGGATAATTAACATATCCCTTGCCTTCTAGTCCTAATCTTTTACAGCAGACAGATACATAAGCATCTACTGTTATAAGTTAGAGCATATACAAAATTCTGTGTAACCACATTAGAAGCAAATACTCTGCCTGCTGGAATCTTGAAAAGCTTCATTAAACAAGCAATATTTCAGCTGAGCCTTTAAAGGACAAGTAAGATTTTACTGGGTAGACAAAGAGTAGAATATCTAAGCAAACCAAACAGTATGTGAAAGGTTCTGATGCTGAAAGAACAAAGAGTTTGTGGAATAAGTGACTTTACATAGTAAATCATAGTATAACGAAAAATGGGCCAGGCATGGTGGCTCACACCTATAATCCCAGGACTTTCAGAGGCCGAGGTGGGTGGATCCCTGAGGTCAGGAGTTTAAAACCAGCCTGGCCAACATAGTGAAAGTCCATCTCTACTACAAATACAAAAATTGGCCGAGTCTGGTGGCATGCACCTGTCATCCCAGCTACTCAGGAGGCTGAAACAGGAGAATCACTTGAACTCATGAGGCGGAGGTTGCAGTGAGCTGAGATCACGCCACTGCACTCCAGCCTGGGTGACAGAGCAACACTCCATTTCAAAAAAAAAAAAAAAAAAAAGGAAAAGAAAAATGATTGATAGCAACAGAGACTAGAAAAGTAGGTCAGGGTCAAATTGTGAAGGATATTTTATGTTGTAATGTAGAATTTGGACTCTTTCTCATAGGTATTAAAAACCATTAGAAATTTTAATACAGAGAGGTAACATGATTATATTTGTTACATTAGAAAATCTCTTTTTACACTCAAACTACAGCTGAAACTCCAATGATTAGAATTCTAATGATTAGATTGTGTTTTTGAAAGAATTTCAGCTGTAGTTTGAGGAATGGTTTTAAAAAGAAAGAGACTTTGTCAGGGAGGCCCTAACCAAAAGTTTTGTCCATTTAAAAATTTCCACATGTATCCAAGTAATGGTACCAAATACTATTTGCATAAAAATACAAGTTATTTGTTGTATGCTCTGGTTTTCTTAGTCCTTCAGTTAGAAATTTCTGAGTATCCAGCTTAAGTTTTTCTTTTCTTTTATACTGACTTTGTCTATTCTCAGAAAAAAAAATCAAGACTGTAACTTTATACTTTAATATATAAAGAAAATGCTGGATTTTTTTGAGTTTTTTTCTTTGTTTTGCTTAATTTTTGTGATAGGAGTGGTTTTGTGCTAGTCCATCCACATTCTCCTTTATGTATTAATGAGATGGCTTACTATGGTTATAGGTATAGCAAGTAAACTCTCTGTCCTCTCATCTGCTATCTTTTTCTTATTTTTATCAGTTAACCATTTATTGAGAGCCCACTGGTATGTCATACTGTATCAGTTATTGTCTCTGGAGATTTTCCTAAGGCTATTTAAATTTGTGGGGGCTTTTTATTGAATATTTCCACTTGTTCTTTCTGGAACTGAAGGAAATGAAAAATCTGTTTAGTATGAGATGTTGTGAATAAATCAACCTTTGTATCACTCTGTTATGAAAAATTGTTCAAATTCTAGTAGCTGTAAAACAATTTGGAAATTTAGTCTCTGGTAACCAAGGCTTCTTTGCTTTATGATGTTTATTAAAGAAAAACCTAAACCAACCACTGATTTTTAGAAGTTTAAAGCCTCACATTAACAACAGGAACCATCATGCCATTGCACTAGCCTAGGCAACGAGAACGAAACCCAGTCTCAAAAAAAAAAAAAAAGAAAATAGGAACCACTAGTATATTGTCTCAGGCTATATAGTATTATTGATCAGTAATGATTGATTGGCAGAATCACTTTAGTTGGATTTTTTTTTTTTTTTTGAGATGTAGTTTCGCTCTTGTTACCCAGGCTGGAGTGCAATGGCGCGATCTTGGCTCACCGCAACCTCCGCCTCCTGGGTTCAGGCAATTCTCCTGCCTCAGCCTCCTGAGTAGCTGGGATTACAGGCACGCACCACCATGCCCAGCTAATTTTTTGTATTTTTAGTAGAGACGGGGTTTCACCATGTTGACCAGGATGGTCTCGATCTCTTGACCTCATGATCCACCCACCTCGGCCTCCCAAAGTGCTGGGATTACAGGCTTGAGCCACTGCACCCGGCCGGATTTTTTTTTTTTTTTTTTTTTTTTTTGCCAAGTAGAATATTGTTTTTTCAAGTTGCCATTCTCCTGTCCTAATCCCTTGCATTGCTCTTCTACTCTAAACAAATGAGGATTCTTATGTTTAATAATAAACCCTTGTCATTCATTCATATCTTGCTTTAAGCAAGAGTTACCATCTTCCAGGTGTTTGGTTATGATTTCAACTGAAATACCTCTTAAAGGAAGCATAGTTATAGGAGGCCTATATTTTCAAGCCAGCAAATTGTAAATTTCAGAAATTGTAAAGAAATCATTTGGGAAAAAGCCACTACTACTACCACCACCCCTTTCCACAAGCCCCCAGAGATATGTCCAAAAAAGAATATGCCTCAGTATTTGTGTGTGTGTATATGCATGGACATTCCGTGTGATAAGCCCTATTCTAGGTAGCTGCCACTGGGAATACAGAAGTAAACTAGACACAGTCAGTATCTTGGAATATTTTATCATTTAATAGAAGAGACAGGACATAACTGATTAAAACCTAGAAATCTAAGAACTATCAAAATATCTACACAGATTATATACATAGATATTATAGAAACAGGAAAGAGATATCTCAGCCGCGGTATAGGGAGGAGACATCAGGATACACTGAATTTTGAAGATGAGTTAAAGTTACTCAGGTGAAGGAGAGAGGGAAAGATATTTTAGTCAGAGAAAAGAGAAAGATACGGACTATGATACTGCAACAAAAAAAAGTTTGTTAAACATTTGAAGAACTACATATAATGCCTAGTGGCATATATGTAGTTACATATGTAGGCATATATATAGGCTAGGTCAGAGGGGTATATATGAGAACAAGGTGGGTGATAGATGATATTTAGGAATAAGATTAATGAAGGGTCTAATATATAATACAAATTAATTTTAACTCATTTAAATGGTGAGAATCAAAGAGTTATTTAGATCACCACCTGTCAAAAACAAATATTGTTCCTTCTGGGCATGTAGTCCTTGAACAATTATGAATAACAATGGAAATTACATTCTCAAATAGACTTTGTGGAGGGTTTCCCCCTTCACTTAAAGAACATCTTTAAACAAGTAGGAGGTTTGCTTTTCTTCAGTATTTTTAATTCTGTTGGTATTTTGTGGAAATGTAATGATAATTAGTTTGACGCATTTAGATTCTTCTATGTTCTTTTCTTTTTCATTCAAGAGAATTAAATCATTTATTGATTACACATGATAATGGATAATACACAAGCTTCATTCCCATCTATAATTTTATCTGGTACCATTATTAAATTTAGACATATTGCATAGGATGTGCCAACAATCATTTTTATAACCAATAATTCCATGATTCTGCTTGGGTAATCCCTTTTAATGGTGGACTTCAGATCACAACAGTAACTATCAGTTCAACTACACCAAGGTTTCTGAAGACAATGGCTTCTCCACACAAGCAGGTTGTGTATAAATTCCAAATAGAACCTGGCATCACCCTGGAAGAATTCTAACTTCACACTGTTGGGGAAATTTACCAAGATGGCTTCAGAGTAGACTAACTTTACACAGCACATTAAAAAAAAAAGGCATTTATTCAGTGTCACAATCAGACTATTATGTTTAGCAATCAACAACATGGGTGCAAAAAAAAAATCTACATTAAAACCCTAGTCCTCAAGTTTTTTGCCCATACACAGGAGTATTTGTGTAGCAATCAACAACATGGGTGCAAAAAAAAAAAAAAAAATCTACATTAAAACCCTAGTCCTTGAATTTTTTGCCCATACACATGGGTATTTATCTAAAACGTGTCTTCTTTGTAAGCAGCTAGGCCCTGCCACCACTGTACTTGGCTGAGTTCACAAATCTGTTGTAACCTGTAGCTTCCCTGTCTCTTCTCTGACTCTTCTCTCCTGCTAAGCTTTGTTTCCTAAATAAAATCTTCTGCCACTGCCATAGCTACTGCTGCTACTGGAACCGCCATAGCCACCTTGGTTTCATGGTTTGGCAAAGAATTGGCCTCCACCACCATAGGGGCCAGAGCTTCTGCCTCCAAAGTTTCCTCCCTTCATGGGTCCAAAATTTAAAGACTGATTGTTGTACTTGCCAAAATCATTGTAGCTTCTACCACCTCCAAAATTTCTTCCATCATTACCAAATCCATTATAGCAATCCCCACTGCCACCATATCCACCACCATCACGGCTGCCACCAAAGCCATCATGATCACTGAAGTTTCCTCCATGACCAAAGTTGCCATTCCCACTGAAACCACCTCTACGACCACTACCAAAGTTTCCAGAACCACTTTGACCTCTTTGGCTGGATGAAGCACTAGCCATCTCTTGCTTTGACAGGGCTTTCCTAACTTCACAGTTGTGGCTATTCACAGTATGGCACTTCTGAATGACAGTCTTATTCACAGAGTCTTAGTCATCAAAGGTTACAAAGAGAAAGCCCCTTTTCTGCCACTGCCCCAGTCGGTCATGATTTCAATCACTTCTATTTTTCCATACTGTTCAAAATCTCTTAGGTGATGTTCTTCAGTGTCTTTTTTAATGCCAGCAACAAA